TGTGTGTGTGTGTGTGTGTGTGTGTGTGTGTGTGTGTGTGTGTGTGTGTATATATATGTATATGTATATATAAATATATATATACATATATATATATATATATATATATTCAGACAGACAGAGAGAGACAGAGAGAGACAGACAGAGACAGACAGACAGACAGACAGACAGACAGACAGACAGAGAACGAGAGAAAACGTCCCGTAAATCTTGCAAAAGATGATAGATTCGGATATCCTGCACACTACTTCCGATTTCATTGTGAACTTGATCCGCATGACATTAGATAAGAGATAGATTTAGTCCCATAGACTGAGAAGCGTTTATGTCGCGTTAATATCTACGGTCATTAGTGACGTATACAAAATATAGCAATAGGGCGAGGCTTGGGGGCAAAGCCCGTAGGTAAGGCAAGGTTATACCGTAACATGATAGAGTATTGTAGCAAAAAGGTTAAAAATGAGTTTACAATTTGGACAAAATGTGTTAGATTGTCTAAAGTTGTACCGGTTGTTGGTTAGTATGGAAGTGAAAAGGGGGAAAGGAAACGGAGTACAAAGGCCGTTCATGACTGACAAAACCAGTCTTTCATCCTTTCAGCACGGTTCTTACACATCGGGATGAGGAAGGGGATAAAGAAGAGAAGGAAAAGGAAAGAAGAAAAGACTATGCAAAATTAAGTGAGGGTTAAGATACAAGGCAGGGATGATGCTTGTTCTGTGAATTATTCTAAAATTGTGAATTCTTATTGGTAAATGGTTTATAGAAAATATTTCTGAGGATCTAAACTGCAACTTTGTGTGTTTGGTTGCGTAAGGCGCTGCTCTTTTGTTTTGGTAATATGTGTTTGTTTTGGTTGGCGCGTCTCCCTGCCCGCCACATGATCACTGAAATTTACTTATTTCTTGGCTTTGTACCACCACACGGCAGAATTTCAGTCTGTTCTATCAAGCGTGTATTATAAATTTGTAAAACAATTGGTGTGAGAATTTCAGTCAAAGTTACAGATTAAGATCACCCTAATAAGGTTCTTGTTTATCATCATTTGTTGAGATTTGTTGACGTGTTTTGTTTATTTTTGCTATTGCTTTTACATTTTGTAAACTAATTTGTTAGAGCTAACTGTGATATACTGAAATGAGGATGTTGTGATTTAATCTTCATGCAGTTTGCTACTGGGACAGTGGCCAATGTTGTAAATTTGCTGCTTTGGTTATTTAATGTAAATAATTGAACATTGAGAGAGATTGATAGATAATTTAATATTGTCTTTGTATGCTGTTTATGTGCAAAGTGAAGTTTTATTTGATTAATATGTTGAAATATTTTTCTAATATTGATTGTTTTCAAATACTGGAATCATATGTTTTCTTTATATCTGTTATTAGATTTTGCTTGCATTATTCCTTTAGGATCTCCTGTTTATATGAATATTGAATATGGTTAAGTATACTATGTATGTATGTTGAATTATTGCTCTGAAAATTAGATTTTTGTATAATTTTGTTTTTGTGTTGTCCAGCATACTTGATAAGCAATTGTTATAACACTATGCATGCGATTTAATAAAAGGATCCGACACATGGCATATAATTACCCAGCAGCGGCTGCTAATGAAACGCGCCCCACACTGAGCCTCAGTCTCCGTCTCCTAATCCCCCCACGACGGCGACCATGGGATCAGGAGGGAAGGGACTGATAAGATATAAATCAACAGGACATTTGAGACAAAAAGTATTGCCAAGAAACATATCGTTATCTCTGTAAACATGTTGTCTCAGGATTTTGCACCATACTATGAGGGAGATATGATTAATTTTCTAAATCCACCCTTTTTGCTCTTTTGAATGTCCCAGACGGTAATGACTTATCCAAGGGTAGCATAAACTTGAGTATCACACTGAAATGCATTTATAAGTAAAAATATAAATCTTGGAAATGTGTAAAAGATATGAACTAAAAAATAAAAGAAAAACTGGATCATGCACTACACACGACACTTTTACAACACAAGAATTTCTTTGAGAGGAAGGAAACAGCAGTCACAGTCTGGATCATATGGGCTCATGGGTTGTCCTGTGCAAACTCTGAATGCGCTAATGAGAGGTGAGATCGTGCGGAGGTTATAGCTATGAGAGGTGGGCATAGCTTAGTTAGTTCACGAATTATTATCTGGGCAACACCTCGCATCGTGGCCTAATTCTTCGGAGAGCAAACCCCCAACGCATTTTTCAAACACTTGTGCTTACTGTACCTTTGTACAAGTGGAATAACACAAACCCTTTACACAGGCCACCGTGAAGTGAGGGTGTGTGCCCCCCCCCCCCCCGTAAGAAGGGTTTTTTTCAGCAAATTAAGATAAACCGGTATTTGTTGGCAAATTCCTAAAAATTCGAATCTCCACTTAAGCACAGCAAGGGGCATTTCACTTAGGAAATCCCGTACACCGTACCTGTAAATCCGAAAAAGAAAAATCAGGAAATCCTTAGGAAATATTTAGGAAATTCGGAAATCTCCAGGAAATTACATGAAACTTTAAATCTCGCAGCAATCTTTTACAAAATCTTGATAATAGAACTAAAAATGTCTTGAAAAATCGGTGAAAAAAATGTCATAAACTTTGGCAAACACGAGCAGATGAAGGGCAGAGTGCTTTCTTTAAGGCCGCGCAGCTTTTTCTTAGTTGCCATGGAGTTCGATTGAACACAAACTCGATCAGACGCAGAATTATCATAGAAAAACTTACTTAACTGATTCGGTGATTTATGCCAGATTTTAGACGAAATCGACTACTCTTGCGAAAGTCTCTG